CCCTATATAAGATGCATTAAACTAATGCAGCAGCATCTTTCTTCAAGCTTGCCTGGAAATCAGAAGTGCTTATTTCAATGATATAGTAAAAAGTTGTATTTATAGTCAGGCCAAAGTATTTCTCTGCAATCTTTCTCAAAGTATGCATAGCATATTCAACAGACAGTTGTTAAAAATGGTGTTTTCTTAAGCAAGTCTGAGTTCCCACAAATTGTTTTTATGAAATATATCATGTTCCCCTTGGCTACATATGAAAAGTTCGGAGCAAAGCTTATAAGAACCTTGACACAGAAAGCAAATCTGCAATGTGAGATATGGGAAACTTACAGGAATATGTGGTAATGTAATTGTGACTTCATCTCCTTTACCAACTTGAAGCTCCCCTTCACAAGATGTATCTATAGATGCTGGTTTAAAATCATCTAGAGGATGCAATAACTGATATTAAACATACATCAGATTATAAAGGATCTTGATGAGTATTTATTTAGAAACAATCTCATTATTACTTTTAATTTTATTTTATTGTTTTCATTGGCATTCAAATAATTTTGGACCCAGCTTAGTAGAGTGAATGTGCAGACAGGATTAAATCAAATTACCAAATTATAATGTTCTTCTGCAATTAGGTCTGCCATTTTTTGTTAGCCAATAACATAAAAAATTCTAACTTAGCATACTTCATTTTTTCCAAAAACTATTATCTGCTATAAAAAAATAAAAATGAAAAACCTTAATTTTTAAAAATTTCCTTGACCCATCTTTTTTTTGAAGTCCATTCATAAAGCCAGTTATTATTTTAAATTGCAACTGTATAAGTGGCCAACTGAACCAACTTTTTTCTAGAAATAACTATTTTCAATAATACTCTCTACCTTACTTTGGGAGCACAAAAAATTATTAAGAATGCAACGAACACTGATTCTAGATATGAAACAAAAGGTTTCTATTGCAGTCCTTGTCTTTTCAACAATTCCAAGAATGATTGTCAGCATAGGCCTGGCATATTCCTCTTCCTTTAATAGTAACTTGATGTAATACAACCACCATTATATATAATAAACATAATATGCTGTCTACTATTTGCAGCCTGAGTTGACAACTGGATGCACATTTTGCACTGACAGCAACTACAAAAGGCACAATTCTTTCCTGGTGCTCCAAACAGATATTAATCAATGTCCTATGTTATTAAATGTATTTATAATTTTTATCTTGCCATTTTCTCTGAGAGCTCAAGACAGCACATATATGGGTATTCTTATTTCACGTCATTCTGGATATGACGTGACATTATGCAATAAATAATTATATAATTATACATTATACAATAAAATTTGGTTTTAATGGAATAATTAAGAGAGGCGAGTGTTTTATTACACATGAATGCCCACATTTGTCATTTGCCTGTTTTGCAAAATCTGTCCTCTGGGCCGTGTTATATTTCTTATGTGATGATACTCAAAAGAATTGTAAACTGCCTCAGAAACTGAGTTCTTGTTTGAAGATCCCTCCAGATATACCTTTTGTGCAAATCCTGGACTATGGATCTAATGAAATCAGGGCTATGTAGGGCTGAGTTAAAAACTCTTCTAACTCAGCCCTACAATAAGCTTTTCTCTTTCTTTCTTTCTTTCTTTCTTTCTTTCTTTCTTTCTTTCTTTCTTTCTTTCTTTCTTTCTTTCTTTCTTTTTTGCAGTACTGAAGTTTGTGGGCAGCTTTTTAAAATTGGCTTTGCTTTTATGTCACCACAGTTTTTCTGGGTGCAAGCAAACTCCTGCTCAATGTATGCTAGAGAAGGAACAGAAGCAAATTAAAAACTATCTGGAGTTAAGATTACTGCAGGCCTTTTAAGCATGATTATGGAAATGATTTGCAAATGCTTCCTTCCTGGACAGTTTCAAGATCTCCATAAAACAACTGTCCAATAAGCAGCCTTCATGAAATGTTTAGCTCATTCATCTTTGGCCTCAAGCATGGCTCCTCCCTATCACTGGATGGATGGTCTGCTGTACATTACAATCTATAATCATGTTTACAGATTCTGTACAGATAGATAGCAAAGACTTTTAACACAAATAGAAGAAACTGAGCATTAACAGTAGGGGGTGTTTGTCTCATAAGAATTTTCAGCACAAATGGCAAGTATGTACTTAACATGTAATTAAACCACAGATGGTGGTGAGAGAGAATATTTTTTTCTCCTTTCTGCATGGAATATTAATTGAAATGATTTTTGTCACTATAGAGCAGTGGTGGCGAACCTATGGCACATATGCCAGAGGCGACACTCAGAGCCTTCTCTGTGGACATGCGCGCTATGCCCCAGAGATGGCAACTGTCCCTCTTCAACCAGCTGCCCGCTAAATTGCCAAGGTGCCACGTGCCCAGATGCATCCCAGCATGGCTGGTTTCCCTCCCCCCCCCCGTCCCATCCCTCCTGGTCTCGCATGCTCTCCTTTTCCTGGGCACGACCCACTGCATCGCCTCCTCAGCTGTCGGCCAGCCATCCAGCTCAGAGGCGGCTTCTCTGAAGTGCTGGCAGCGGGCTGCGGAGCCCCAGAGTACGCCGGTTGAGGGGCTGGCAGGCTGTGGTTGCTGATGGACAGTCAGCCCCCGTGTGCTCGCTGGCCTCTGTGTGAGGGAGCCGATGGTGTCAGGCAGCAGCCGCCCCAGCCCCTGCCTCGCCTTGCCCTGCGACAATGGAACCCCTGCCCTGCCTCGCCTCACCTCACCCACACGATGAGCCTCCTGCCACCGCCCCACCTGCCAGAGACCCCCTGGATCTCCCCCAACCCTGCCCAGCCCTCACAGCGTCTCTCCCCACGAGCAACATCGGGGAGACCACACCTTCCTTGGCCACACCCAGTCTGCCATGACCATAGCCACATCCACCCAGTGGGACACGCCCACCTGGCACCCGGAGATAAATAAGTGGGTTTTGGGTTGCAGTTTGGGTACTCGGTCTCTAAAAGGTTTGCCACCATTGCTATAGAGGCTTTGGCAATTCAGAAAGTGGGATATAGGAGAAGTCCCACTTTTTGAATCTCTTCTGTTGAACATCTGGAGGGAAAACTGATTGGCTTGTAGTATTCCTTGCTAGTTTTCATTTCTTTTTAACTGATCAGCTCACTCATATGCTTCAAACTTATTGGTGAAGAATTGGAAAATGAAACTAAAAATTGCATAAATTCCTTTTATGCTTGGAAACTGAGGAAATGAAGTTTTCCTCATTTATTTTTCTGGTGAGGAAAAATCTCAGCAACTAAATGTCTAGAGGTGAAACTCTTTTCGGAAGGGACAGATAAAGTAGGGCTAGATTTGCCTAAAATGCTAATCCATAACTAGCAATCATGGTTAACTGATTGCCTGGGTTTGCATAATACTAAACTGTCAATTAACCACATCACTTAGATTACGGGTGTTAAACTTGCTGAGTCACGTGACTGTGTTGTGATGTATTGCCACCATTGCGGGAGCTGGGGTGGGTGCAGCCTCCACATGATGCAACCGGCCCATAGGCCGGCAGTTTAACACCCCTAACTTAAGAGTCACAAAGCACACTAAACCTGAGTAAATAAAAACAACTGCTACATTCACATCACATATTTGTCCAGAATGTTTTGAAAGGGTATGTTTTTTTGAAATATATTACTCTAAATCAACCATATTGTGGTTTAACATAGTGGCCTCATTACCACAAGAATACAATTGGCTCAATTTTCACAATACAGGGATCCACAAACTATCCAACCCTATTAAGCCTTTTTGTGGATACTAGCTATTAAAATCTCTAGAACATTATCCCCCCCCCCAATAAGATCTGCACCCATCCCTTTGGCCTTTGGAAAGGACCTGAAAACTTGGCTGACAACTGATCTGGGCTCCAACATGTCATTCTGGAGGCGGTTAATGGGCTGAGGTAAGACCGCCATCTCCTCCCTGTGTACATCTGTTAACTTTCCTTCCCATCTTTATCAATTTAAATAGATTTTAGTGTTAATATTTATTTTATTTATTGTAAGCTGCCTAGAGTCGCCTTTAGACGAGATGGGCAAGGACATAAATCTAATAAACAAGCAAGCAAGCAAATAAACAATTCTCTAAATACTAAAATCAACCTTGTATCAGAAAGCGAGTTCAATTGGGCTTACTCCCACAGAAGTGTAGGTATGCCTACCCCAACATAGTGCGCTCCCAGGTAAACCCCAGCACGCGGCTACCGCTTGGCTGAGGATGATGGGAGGTTGTAATCCAAACCTTAGGAGTGGATCAGGCTGGGGAAGGCTGCTCTACCCACTTACCTGGGAGTAAGTCACCCTGAACTCAATTTTCGGTTAGGCAGCCATAGGCTAGCGCGGTTAGGGCCCTCTTTTGACACGGGGCCAAGCCAGCTTAATCAAGCCGATGCTTTGGGGGTCGCCGGCCTGGCCCGTAAGCGCCGCCTCTGCCGGGCACTCACAGCGAATGGTGTGGAAGGAGGCTTTAGGGTGCCGCTCGAAGCTTTCGCCCAGCTGCAGAGGGTGCTCCTCCTTGTCCAGCAGCGGGTTCGCCACGCCGTTCATGGCTACTGCGGCACCCGCCGAGAACAAGAACACCCGCACCCGCCCCGCCCCGCCAGGCCGCCTTCTCTTCCGGGATCGGAGCAGCGTGTAACTGGGAAAACACTCCCCGTCCGGGGGAGCCGATCGAGAGGGGACCACGCGGCTTGGCAGTAGCGTAAGGCGTCCTCGTAGATTTTGGGCAGGGAGATCCGGGAAACTTTTGACGGGGAAGAAGGTTGTGCGGGTGGCGGGACGAGGTAGGTAGGTAGGTAGGTAGGTAGGTAGATAGGTAGGTAGAAAGAAAGAAAGAAAGAAAGAAAGAAAGAAAGAAAGAAAGAAAGAAAGAAAGAAAGAAAGAAAACACTAGGTAAAGCCTACCACCGCACGAGATTGCCGCATTTGGCCCGATCCGCAAAGGGTTCTTGAATTGATAGCAACCCTCAGGACGCGGAAATCCAGATCCCTAATTGGATCTTTCTGCCTGATACGCCCTTCCTCGGAGCTGAACAAGAGTCGATCACCTTGGGACACTTTCTGTTTTGTTTTCTTGGAAAACACGAGTGTAAAAAGGTGTATTGAGGTGCTGTCAGATTAATAGTTTTTCTATTTAATTGATTTTAAGCAAAAAACAGGTGAAGATTCCTACCAGGAGAATTCATCTCTTGGTAACTTCAGATTGATCTTTGAATTCTTGTTTTGGCTACAGAACGTAAGTGATTGGTTATTGCCTTTTTTCAAGTTATTGTTGTTTGACTTAAAACAGTTGTTTTAGTGACCATTTGAAGTTAAAATGGCACTGAAAAAAGTGACTTATTGTTTTTTTTACACTTAGGACCATTGCAGCATCCCCACAGTCATGTGAGCAAAATTCAGACACTTGGCAACTCATATTTATGAAGGTTGCAGTATTCCAGGGTCATGTGATCACCTTTTGCAACTTTCTGACAAGCAAAGTCAATGGGGAACCCAGATTCCCTTAACCATGTTACTAACTTAAGGACTGAAATTACTCATTTAATAACTGTCGCAAGAAAAGTCATAAAACAGGGCAAAACTAATGTAAGTGCCTCATTTAGCAACAGAAATTTTCAGCTCAACTATGTAAATTGTTGAGTACCTGTAGTTTGGAACAGGGCTTTTCAATGTTTTCACCCATTGTACCACTTTTAGGATATGGCAACATCCGAGTACCACCAGTCGCCTAGCAAGGTGTCAAAAACTTGACCAAAAAAAGAGGAAAAAAGTGATAAAGATAGTCCTCGACTTACAACAGTTCATTTAGTGACTGTTCAAAGTTACAATGGTCCTGAAAAAAGTGCTCCCCAAGCCACAGCTGAGCAAGACACCTGCCTGCCCACCCGGCGGCGCTCTTCCTCCTGTCCAAGATTTTCTGTTAAGGATTGGCAGTGGGGGTGGGGGGGTGTTTGGTTTTTATTCCCCCTGTCTGCTGGGTGGTTGCAACAGGTTTTGATCACTTCACATGACCCTGTGACCATCATAAATATTTATTTATTTATTTAATTTTATTTATATGCCGCCCAATCCCAAAGGACTCAGGGCGGCGTACAAAATTAAAACAATCATCTAACAATAATACAGTAAAATAATACAATCATGCCGCATGTCCGATCATGAATCAGTTGCCAAGCATCTGAATGTAAATCATAAGACCCTGGAGATGCTGCAACATTCCAGCTGATCGGCGCTTCTTCTGGGCTCAGCAGAAGCACCAGGATCAGTGCTGCTTTCCAGCTGGAGTCTGGCGCTGATCCTGGTGCTTCCACTGAGTCCTGACAGTCTTGCAGCGCTGATCAGCTGGAAAGCAGCACTGATCCTGGCGCTTCCGCTGAGCCCTGACAGTCTTGCAGCTCCAGCCATCTCTTGCTCAGGCTTGTGCAGTGTTGCCACTGGTTCAGTTCATTCCCCTTCCCCGCTACTTTTCTAGGATGGTCATGTACCACCTGCCAGGTGCCGATGTACCACAGATGGTACCCGTACCACTGGTTGAAAAGCCCTGGTCTAGATTGGTAGTCTCTACCCAGAACTAACATAGAGGCCTCTCTTTGAAGGACTGCCTCTGCTTCTGAGCCCAGAATAACTCAACCAAATGCAGTCAGATTAATAATTTATCTAGCTTAGGATTGTTTAGATCAGTATGTGTGGATCCTGGCGGTTCCTCTAGGCCAGGGGTAGGCAATCTTAGCTCTTTTATGACTTGTGGACTTAAACTCCCAGAATTCCTGAGCCACCCATGCCTATCCCTGCCCTAGGCCATCTCAGGCATCCTCAGATTCAAAATTATTCTCAGCCTATGTTGAAAAACAATACAATAACAGCTACGAGAAGTTGTAGCGGCATTGTTTTAATAAATATTGATAAATATAACCCATACACATAAAAACTGTTTGGGTATCCTCTATAATTTTTAAAAGTAATATAATATGATATGAAGTCCCGAGAGAAAAAAGTTTAAGAAACACTGGTCTAAATCAGTGGTGGCGAATCTATGGCATGGGTGCCAGAGGCGGCACTCAGAGCCCTCTCTATGGGCACATGCGCCGTTGCCCCAGTCCTAGGCCTTCAGCTGGGTTTTATAAAACCTTTTCGCTTTAGGCCTCCACTGCCATGTACCAAAAAAAAAAAAAAAAGGTTCAATCAGTCAATTTTAACTTCTCACGGGAAAAAAAAAGGTCTTTCAAAGTTGGAATTGATTGAACTTTTTAGTCCCACCAAGTTTGCCGTTACCATCGCAGCCATGCCGACCCAATGGGCCACACCCACCCAATTGGCCACATCCAGCCAATGGGCTACACCTACCCGGCACTCAACGATGCATAAGTGGGTTTTGGGTTGCAGTTTCGACACTCAGTCTCTAAAAGGTTCGCCATCACTGGTCTAAATCATTCTTCTGCAACTTGACCCCTTCTATGTGAACTGAAGCCAGTTCTAGAATTCCCAATAACCATGATCAAACTGAGCCTTCTGGTATTTGGTGGTATATAGCAAGCCATTGTCTCAAACTGTGATTAGGATGGAGAGTCGTAGCTCTTCATAGCTCTGTAATAAGATTGAATACTACACTAAAATTGTTTTTGCATGATAGACCAGCCAATAATATTTATAACATATCAATCCAGTCTATGTTTTTAGTTTAGGGTTCAGTTTTACAAATCCAGCTTAAGCTGGTATGGCTTTTTGTGCTATTGAACCTACTTCTTGGTTTGCCATATGTATCATATGGTTTACTGAGGTAAGAATAAATGGAAGAATAAATTCTATTATGGTTTTGGGGCAATCAGTTATTGACTAATGGGTTAGTGTGTGTTATAAACCCATCCAACAAATAAATTGTGGCATTAATTAAGTTTTGGTTGGGTTTACACATCAAACTAAACTGAAACTCAAATTACATCTGGGCTTAAGGTGCCATAAGAATCAAATTAATATTTTCTAGTCCATCTTCATGTACTGTAATGAAGAACTGTTAACTGGTTACATTATTTCTCTTTGTGACCTGCCAGTGCATGCAGAGCATGCTCTTAATAGATTAATTAAAGTGTGCTTTTAGAAGTTGAAAGTAAGAGAAATGATCTATTGTCAACATACCCAGAGAAAATTGCAAAATAGTAACCTTACTTTATTGTGTTTTTGCATCTAGTTCTTGCATGATATGTGATATGGGCAATTATTTAATTAAGGATTAATGCAGCTTTGAATCTGCTATGTCCAGTAATTAAGATGATTAAATCCGAAATTCTGAAAAGTCACTCATCTATTCCACATACTGATGAAGTAATAATTGCTTGTGAAGATGAGTCTTTCCAAAAAACAGAGCAGAAGACAAGAATTCTAGGTTCTGAAGAAGCAAAACAATTAGCTCAAAATCAGGTCTTAGTATCTGATTTCAAGAAGCAGAAACTTGAGAAAGAAGCACAAAAGAACTGGGATCTATTCTACAAAAGGAACAGTACCAATTTTTTTAAGGACAGACACTGGACAACAAGAGAGTTTGAAGAATTAAAAGCCTGCCGTAAAGTGAGTTTAACATTCTCTGGCACCAGAGGGCAATAAAGAACTGCTATAGAAAAATCTCTGAATTGAAAGCCTTTAACACTGATCTTATTATGTTATGCATTCTGTAAAATTCAGGTTAGGCTAGTACAGTATGTTTGTTTTGCAGATTCCATGATAAAATTTGAGATGTAAATTTTAATATTGACAGTCAGTTCTTTGCTCTACAAAGAAACTTTTACTATATGTACATATTTTAGGCTTTAATTCATTCATACCCTTGGAAAAATAACAGGTCATAGAATTATAAAACAAAATGATACAACTTAATTTAAAGACGCTTGGTTTATGCCAAACAGTACTAGTGACCATGTCTATCATCTACAATATAAGACTGTAAAAATAGAAACAGAGAAAAAAATTACAATGATGGAGAATAATTCTTTTCCTATCAAGATGACTACTAAACTTTATTTTAGGAAAATTATTTATAATTGGACATCTGGGGATGTAGTTGTGATTCTCAGAGAGCATTAAACTGGAAATGCTATCAAATAATAAAAATCTATAATATTGGATGAGAACTGCTACATTTATTGTATCCTGAATTTCTAAAGCTGAATTGGGAAGCTATCAGTTCTCCAGCTGTTGACAAATTGGAAGTCCTACCGTCCTCACCAATTTGTCACACAAAATAGAATAGTTGGGAGATCTCATTCAGTAACATCCAGAGGGCTCCATGCTCTTCACACCTGCAGGAACAAGAGATATCATTAATATAAATCATGAGTGGAATTATGATTGTAGAACTCAGAAAAGTTGCAATTTTATATTTTTCAATCAATTTGATTGAAGATGATTCATTTTTCCAGAGGTGAATCTGGTCCCAATTCCCAAAAGATGCGAGTGGAGTTGTGGTATATGAAACAAGTATCCATTTAGTGAACAAATGCAGTTCCTGGACTATATTCTTAGCATTTTGTCACTATCAGAAACAGTAAGGATCAGCTAAGTGGTAATGTTGGTCTCTATTCAAGAGTGACATAGCAAAAGAATTAGATGGATTCTGGGCAATTTTGTCCAGTTTGTTGATAAAGTAACTTCCATAATTAAGTTATAACTCATTTTCATATAGAATACAAAAAGTATCATGAATTTTGTTTTATATCTTTAATTTCAAGAAACTATCTTTGATTGATCTTATGCTTCTGATTCACTAGAAGATGATTCCATCTATTGTATGTATTGATGCAACATTTGTATAAATTGTATGACTTGAATCACAATAGGTGTTAGTTTTAGTTGCTTTTAAATGAAGGTTTTCTTGCTTTGCCATAAAACCACTATTTAGTGGGAGTACAATAAAACCTTTTATTTTCGTTCATTAATCTGGAAATACATCTTTGTGGTGATAATAATCTATTGTGTGGGATCCAGTAAATCAGTGGTTCTCAACCTGTGGGTCGGGACCCCATTTGGGGTCGAATGACCATTTCACAGGGGTCGCCAAACGCAGTCTGCCATTTTTTTCCCCCTTTTCCTTAGCTGTGCTACTCCCTTTTATTCTATTGGCTTTTGAAAGCCAATAGAATAGACTCTCTTGAATAGAGTCTAATTCTATTAGCTTTCAAAAGCCAATAGGAATTTTCCAGGCTGTCTCTGCCCTGCTGAGTCCGCCAAAAGTCCCATTCTGCAAACGGTGCTGCACCAGTTGAGTAGTCCTCGACTTACGACCGGTTGAGTAGTCCTCGACTTATGACCGGTTGGGGGTCGTGGCATTAAAAAGATTGAGAACCACTGCAGTAAATGGAGATTTGCTATAATAACTTTGATTTTAAAAGCTAATGATGTTAGTCCAAAAATTAATTCATGTTATTTGAAAGGATCAGACAATTACAATTATTATTTTCTCACCTCTTCAGTTTGAAGATCAAAAATTGACAATTCTAGAAGCCGGTTGTGGTGTTGGGAACTGTTTATTTCCACTTCTAGAAGAAGATTTGAATGTTTTTGCTTATGCGTGTGACTTCTCTCCCCGAGCAGTGGAATATGTAAAGGTTTGTAAAATATTTGTCATTTTTTTTCTTTCATTAAGTGAATACATACATTTGAAATATAAGCTTCTTTAAAAAGAAATGAGAAAGCAAAAATGGCATTGTTTGGTATTATTAAATTGGTTTAAATTATCTTAGCCCGGAATTTGAGTTTTATGCTTAGTGGTTAAATATTACTCAGAAGATTATGGAACAGCATCTAAATTACTTATTTTAAAAATTTGTAAGACCACTTATGATGCTGAATCACTATAGTAAAAACAATTACACAATACAATAAAAGATCCATACCCTAATGCTGGAAGAAATACATATGTACAATTTTATGTATAATATTAATAATCAGGTCTGCTTTTTCTGTTTTATACAGAGGTGAAAAATTTCTTCTGAATGTACATAAACAAAATAATGTCAGCAATTTTAAGAAGTGTGGATTTGAAGTCCATGCATTTTAAAGTTTCTGAAACTGAAAAAGTGACCTAAAGATACTAGCGTGGGAAAGATTGTGATTCATATTTAATTACCTGCTTTTCTGCTTGGTTGTCTTCAGTTCAACACTGAGGGAGATTATAATAAACAGTTTCAAAATATCCACTATCTAAACCAGTGTTTTCTAAACTTGGCAACTGTAAGTAGACAGATTTCAGCTCCCAGAATTCCCAGGATAGCCAAGCTATTCTGTATTATTCAGTGTTCTATCCTTCTGTATGATTTACTGTGCTAGCTTCAGGTTTCAAAATATAAACTTAAATAAGTTTGAACCATATGTTCATTTCACAGCAAAATTCTCTATATGATGCCAAAAGATGCAAAGTATTCCTGTGTGACCTGACCAAAGATGATCTTGTGGAAAATGTACCATTAGAGTCGGTGGATGTGGTTATGTTAATATTTGTACTTTCTGCCATTCATCCTGAGAAGATGCATTTAGTTTTGCACAATATTTATAAGGCAAGTCTGCATGGCTATAATAGCATGGTTTTTACCATGAGCGTGTATTTCTGCTATGAAAAGATGTAACACAGAATCTGTGCTCTAATTTACACAATACATACATTGTATGGTTCAGACTTGCAACAACTTTCAAAGAGATGGTCTTTATTGTCTGTGTATTTATCTGTAAATAAGTCTGAACTAAAAGGAATGCTGTATCAAGTTTGTCTTTTCCAAATAAGATTTAATAGAAAGGTAATTCATACAGATGAACCTTGCTTAATGACTATAATTGGACTGGCAATTCCATTATAAGTGACATGGTAGTTAAGTGAGACATCCAGTGATTATGACGTGTGATTTTTCTGCCAGCTTCCACATTGACTTGCTTGTCAGAAGCTCTCTACAAATGGCAATTACGTGACCATGGATGCTGCAGTGATCGCGGACTGGTCAAAAAGTGACTTTTCAGTGCTGTCTAACTTCAAACACTTGCTAAATAGGGTAGTCATTAACTGAGGATTACATATACTTTGCTTGAGGGACAACACTTGATGTATTTATCTATCTTGTAATAAATAGAAAGTGGATTAATTCCCAGGAATATGACTTAGAATGTCTTAAATGCAAACTAAGGTGGTTATTTCCAGGTTCAAGCAAATAATGGGAACTGATTTAAGCTATGAAATGTGTTTTATGACAACTATGAAATTAATTTTTCTAGTGTTGTTATAATTAATATGGAATGATATTTTGAGTAAAAGTCAAAATTTTAAAACTCTTTTATAATGAAATGAAATTGTGTCAAATCTGCTTAACAGGACCGAGCTAAAGTGGCACAAAATGTTCCACTTTTATCATTACATGGTTTTGTGTATTAATTAAGTCCAGTTTAATATGTTTCATATTGTTTTTAGGTTTTAAAACCAGGTAAATATGTCCTATTCAGAGATTATGGCCTTCATGACCATGCAATGCTGAGGTTTAAATCTGCTTGCAAGCTGGGAGAAAACTTCTACGTACGACAAGATGGAACCAGGTCATACTTTTTTTCTGATGGTGAGATCTTAATTAAGATATTATACAATATAGATATCAGTAGGGGAAGCACCCAACAAATACTGAAAAGCTTGAAAAGTTTACAAAACAAAAATCTGTCAGAACAAAAATACAGTGTTATTTATAGTAATTATAAATAATCCCCAGGTAGTTGTACTGAAAGGGTTTCTACAGTACAAGCATACTGATGAAAAAAAAATCATTTGTTCAACAATAAAGGAAGCTAGATATGGTTAAATATCAAAAAGCTGCAAATAGCAGCCTCAACATCAGAATGTTATTTAATAACTGTTAACATTCATTTTGATATGTATATAATCCTTTTCTAATGTAAGTTTGTGTATCTCCAAATTTAATAATAGTCACTATAAAGTATAAATCTAAAGAAACTGTATGTCCTCCAACACTCCTTTTATATCCAATTTCAGCTCAGCGGCAAAGGGATTTGACAGTTGCCCACATTTCAATAAAAACTTCTATTGAGATACCTTCGAAGCTGAGCCCTGCTGCTTTGAATAATTTCCAGGTTTTCCCAAATACAAGTATGGATTGTTCCTTTATGAGGTACTTAAGATATATCTTTTGAATAACAACCTATCATTAACTACCAATATATTTATTAAAAAAATTATATTGGTAGTTAATGATAGGTTGTTATTCAAAAGATATATCTTAAGTACCTCATAAAGGAACAATCCATACTTAGCAGCTTTCTTGGGCAAATGGAAGGAAAATCTGACTTTGGATATTGCTTCATTTTCTGCATTGCTGCCTATATCTTTTTTTAAAACCACCAACAAAACTGTTTCTCATTTTTTGTTTTGAGAAGAATAACCTGCCTATTCAGGATTTGTATCATTTCATCTTTGTACTTTAACACAAGTTTCTTAAAAATATTCTTCCTTCTTTTTCTATAGTATTTTTGGCAGAACTTTTCCTGTCTGTGGGATATGAGGAAATAGTCAATGAATATGTGTTTCGAGAAACTTTGAACAAAAAAGAAAACATACGTGTGCCAAGAGTTTTTCTCCAAAGCAAATTTCGAAAGCCTCAAAAATAAGCTTTGACTAATAAGTTGTTGGACAGTTGAAGTTCAAGATTACTTTCTTATGTTATTCAATTTAAACCAATTTTTGTATCAGGTATGTCCAATCTGTAGCTCCTGGACAGTTGGCAATGCAGCCCTAAAAGATTGTGAAATTTTAATATATTATTTTTAGCAATAGTTACCATATTATGTATTTTATATATGTTCAAGACAATTCCTCTTTCTCAATGCAGTGTAAGAAAGCCAAAAAGTTGGACATCCACATTTTACATTCATGAAAATAAGCCTAGCACTTACATAGTACTCTTCTGTTGATACAATCTTGAAGATTATGTTTTTATTTTAAATATAATTCCATAATTTTTGGATTAAACTACCAATTTTCAGATTTATCATTCAGGATCATAAAGCTTTTCTTGGAAAGACTTTAAAATACTTATTGTCAGGCAGATTCCAGAAGTGTGGCTAGCCTCATATATAAGCAGTGTCTGATTTCACATGATAGCTTTGTTGATACAACAGTGAGCCAGTACTAGCTTACTACATCTTAGCCTAACATAATTGTGAGTACCTAGCCAATATAATTAGTTTATAATTCATTATTTTTAAACTCAAAACATTACGTTTTGTTAAACCTTGGTGAGTATAGTCACAGTTGTACAAACATAGTATGTTAGTAAGCCTGTAGTTTAGTTTGTTCATTATGAGCCTCTTTTGTGGGTTGTGAATCTTAAATTGTGATGTAATATGTTGTGCAATCCCAACTAATAGTAGTTCTTTTAATTCATTATTAAATAAATTGTAACTCATCATAATGGAAGCCACCTAAGTGACTTTGGGCCAGTCACTCTATTTCAGCCCAACACACCTCAAATGGTTATTGTTGTGGGGAACATAGGTGGAGGAAGGTGTGTTGGATATGTTTGTATCTTGAGTTATTTGTAAAATAATAAAGGCAGGAAATAGAGGATAGATAGAATGAAGAGAGGAGAGAGAGAGTCTGAACTCTAATATTAGATAAGCACATTGGATGCCCAAATTAAGATACCCATGAAAGATACCTGTTTGTACACATATATTTTGCTCATACATTTTGAAATACTCTGCTGCTGAACAAAATATTTTTGTACATGTGGTCCTGAGTTTACAACCATTAAGTGTTCCTTACCTTGTGATGGCACTGAACTAGATCAGGGGTCCCCAACCCGCAGTCTGTGGAGCAGCAAGCCAGCAACTGGTTTGCACAAACAAGCAAAGCCCCATCTGTGGGATGCAGGCAGCACACAAAACCACACACCCTCCAGGCTGCAGAAAAACCTCTCTCCACGGAAGCGGTCCCTGGTGCACAAAAGGTTGGGGACCTCTGAACTAGAGAATTTACAATATATTTTGAGAATTCTAACGATTGCAGTGTTTCCATTTTCATGTGATTCTGAACCTAGCTTTTGGATGCCTGGTCCAAAAGCTAGGGTTAGAATCACATGATTGCAGTTACATGATTGCAACTTCCAATCAAACAAACATAATGAGGAAACAAGCAGGAATCAGAAGTCCCAGTCATATGAAGTTCTCACTTAACAACCCATGTAATCCTCACTTAAAAATTTTAGCTGAGAGAGCCAGAATTGCTCTTGTTATATAACAGGGTCACGTGACATTATGCTTTATGACTGCATAACTTAGTGATAGCAATTCTGGTTCTACTGCCATTGAAATAACTAAATATTGTAAATTGGAGGAACAAGCAAATGCTTCCTTGAATACAGAAGCTGTCTGCGATCAGACAGGAAAACAGGACATTTGATTGATAAAGCTGGGATGAAGCTAGAAATTCTCCTATTTAACATTATTGGATTGTATTTACTTGGCACACTCATTTGGAAACTTAGCTATGTTCACACAACTCATTAACCCAATTTTAAGTAAACCATTGTCAGTTGTCAGTGTTCAAAGAACACATTGAAGCATAGATCATACTGGCTGAAATAATACAATGAATTAAGACACAAACTAAAGTACATGTTAGTTTAATGTGCAAATGAAGTGGTGTAGTCATTGATACTGGTTTGGTTCAACCCATTAGACCAGGCTAAATTTGTGTATGCTTCAGAGTGTTCTTTCCACTTTAAATGGGGAAAAATTGTTAAAGGAGGATGAGTAAAAAAGATGGCTACTTCTGTTGTAATAAGAGCAGGCTTCAGTCTCTTCAGTTTTTTGGCAATAGGTAATTAGAAGTAAGTAGGCTATGTTTGAAATATTCCATTAATGTTGGTGTTACAACTTCTTGCATCCAGTACAATGAGCCAAAATTATGTCCTACATCAGGCAACTTATTTTTTAAATATTGCAAAGGCTGAACTCTCTTACTACATTAAATATTTGCTTAATATGATTAATTGACTAAACTGCAATTGGCTTAGCCTTTGTGCCATTAAAAACAAAAAGTTGGATCAGACATGACTTGAGAGACCTGTGATAGGAATCGCCTGATGTTTTCTTGGCCCAAATAGATGGGAAATCTGGGCCATGTGGCCCTTGACCAAATTGTAAAATCATTCTCCTAGTAATCATTTATGACTTGGATCAAAACAAACTGTCTCTTGTGCTGGCAGCCCACTAGGCAGGAAGTGAGAGGGAGGGGGGAGGGAAGGAGGGAGAAGCAGCCATAAAAAAGCAGGCCTGGCAGAAAAAGAGTAAGGGAAAAAGGCGGTTATGTTCACTCTGGGCTTTGCTTTCCCTAGCACAATCCTATGAAATCACAATGCTCATTCAGGCTTAAAATCAGTTAGCAGAAAGCCAAGTTTCAGTCAGGTCATGGCGGTGGGCTGAAAAGCTAATCTTTTATTCTTCTTGAGTTATATTCCTCATTTTCATTTCCTGAAACTTATAACTCATAAGAGGTTAGAAGAATAGGGTAGGTGCCTTTTCCTCTTTATTTATTGTGGGGAGAAGAACTTGTATGAAGAAAGCTGCACAAATCCAGCCAGTATGTTTTGAAAACTGTGATTTAAAGCTTAATAGGTTGTCATTTCAGTCAGCCATCCTATTCAGGTTAAGGAAGCCATGGCTTAGTGTATGAACACTGCCACTGTAATTTAATTAAGAAACTATGTTTAAAACCAAACAATGGCTTAGAATGATACATTGACCCGGTACTAAATTTAATATTTGAATATTTTCAGTCTGTTCTTGAATGATTTAAAAGTTGATTGATAAAAAGGGCATAATTTGGGATGCTTTATTGATTATATTAGGTATCAAGTATACTTCATAGCTAATTAGTTCATGCTTTTCTTTTTGATCAGAGTTATATTCAACTTCATTTACACTAGTTTTATAGCACCGAAGAAGACAGAGTGTTGGTACTGATAGGGTGGAATGTACTTGCACAATATATTGTTGGGATGATTACTTGGTAACTGTTTTCAAAACAATTTCAGAGACAGTCTCATTTTAACTGGGCTCCTGTAATATCACCAGTCCATGCAGGAAATCTCTGTACAACATTGTGACATAATCAATTTCTGTTACCATGGATCAGTTCTTTTGCTTAAATTTTTTTCAGTTTACTTTCATCCACATGCCTTATTATTTGTTACTAAAATTATAAAAAGAAATTCATTGTTGGTTCTTCTATCTGGCATATACACAACTGACTTATAAACTTCTGAATTGTTATATAATGTTAGAATGGCTGCCTAAAATCATATGGTAACAGAAGTGAAAATATTGGATAATTACATGACAATCCCATTTTTGCTGTTAAGGTATCTCTTAATTAATCTAATTGATCTAATAGTTGTATTTCATCATTCAGAAGATCCAAAATAAAGTGGGCTGACTAGGAAGTATTGGCTTGTTTTCTTTCTGTTCTACCATTAGAATTGGATCCTTACATTGTGCTCTTTACTTGTGATCCCTGATCTCAAGTTTTAGTAGTACAGTATCTCTTTGGGAATTGGAACTTCCCACCATTTCCTTTGCCTTGATATCAAAGAAGTATCATCTCTTCTCTAAAGGAACACAACTTCTGCTAACACCAATTTATTATCTCTCTTTGCCAAGGCATAATACAAATCTCCATAACACAGTAATTACCAAATTACATATTGAGGATTACTGGGTTAAAAATAAAAATATTATAAAGTTGGGAATTAAAATTAATTAAAATGTTGCATAATTGCTTTAGCACTGAATTGTGGTCACATGTTCCTTGAAAGCATTCATGGTCACTATTTGTTTTGGAAAACTTTTAATCCAGACCCCTCATTAGGCTTTTGTGGGGATTTGGTACATATACCAATGTCTTTACTCTGTAGAACATTTGTATCATTTTTCTTCATACTTTCGCAGCAAACATTTTTTAGCATGATCTAGAGCAGGCATATCAAACTCGCGACGTCACGTGACGTCGCACAACTTATCGGGCTGGTTTTGCCATTGCCGGCAATGGGGTGGGTGCAGCTTCCATGTGATGCATCTGGCTCGCCGGCCGGCAGTTTGACACCCCTCATCTAGAGTGTCTTTTCTACCTTTTTACATCATGTCTGTCCATACATCCTAGAGATATATTATACATTTGTTTGCCTCATGAAAGTCATTGGGGCGCAAAATATCATTTTCCACTCCTATGTCCTCTAGCACAAAGTGTACCTCAATCGCTGAGAATGCATTTCTCATATAGAAGGTGTAGGTTAAATCTGGCCATTTTCCACCTAGGACCAGACAAACTTCTACCTAAAACCATGGAGAACTGAACTTTTGAAATTGAAGAATTTCATTTCTCCTTCTATATGAGTATCTACTGGATCTGTAAAGGAGAGTTCAGTCTCACTTTGTTGCTCAACCATTAAAATACTGTCATCTTTCGTGGTTTTATTCTGTATGCTGCACTTTAGATTATGTACCTTATGTTGTTCATGTTAAGGACAATTTTGTGCAGTACAGTGAGATTTATAATGCAGCACATCAGGCAAACATAGTTGGTGGTAATGCTACTAAACCATGCTTTATTTTACCACAGTTTGCAGCCTACAGTGACTTAATTATACAGCAAGTTAAACTACAATCAGTTTTATTGCTTAGTGTAATGTAGGAATTAAGCCAATATAAAATATTTTTTCTATTAAATGATGAAATAGATTCACTACATCTTTGATTTGTAAGACAAGGAAACCTCCATATGGAATTACCCTACATAAGTGGCAGCTATTTGTGGTTGTGATGGTAACTGGGATAAATACAACTAGGGTGTTCTCCAAGGTACTTAATCGTGTCCTAATTTTGGAATTGATGGAAGTAGTATCCATAAACCTATCAGTTTCATAAACAATGAAGCCTACATTTTAAAAGCACTTGTAGGAAGGAAACCCAATTGAGAAGGTATTGAAACCGAGAAAGTACAAAAGTAGTTCAGAGGAAACATGCCTGTTTTAAATGTCAATTTCCCCCAAGAATTTTTTTTTTAAATATAGAAGGTATAAGAATATACCTGTATTATATATCAATTTACATCTCAGATAGGGTGGCTTCATCAAATGACCATAAGTCAGTTCCCTTTTCTGTAACATGGTTACAAAGTTAGTACATTTACTTTAGGATTTCTCTGTTATGCAAGAAAGAGACAAAAAAAATACTCATATTTCTTTTTTTCCTTTTCAACACTGAGAAACCTGAATCTCTGATTTGTATTTGGGGAAATGATTTGGAATCACATTGTGTTAATCTGTGATTTGATTAGTTAGCCACAACGGTTCTTTATATGACATGGTAAACTTTCAGAAATAGTTACCATAATTCTGGCATTGTTCACATAACATGCTAAATCAAAACAAATATTCAGATTACATCTTACACAATCTTTTGATTCACATAAGATTTTAAGAGGTAATATGGTTTGATTCTGTCTTAGCCAATGTAAGCATAGTTCAGTTTGTGATTTAATACACAAAACTAAGTTATATCTCATGGTTTACAGACCACAATGGCTAATAACATTAGAAGTGATCAGACAACTGCGGTACTTACTAAAGTTTTTCCTATTCTGTGCCTTAGAATATGAATAAGTTTTTTAATCAGAAAACACAGTGGAGGCTTGACCACTAATCTAATCTCTGTAAAAACTACAGTGCCTCTCCTGGGAGAAAAGGATACTACGTAGTAACGTAGTAAAAAAATGAAACATGGCTTGTGCAAGGGTCCAAAAGCTTTGTGCAAAAGATACTTCATGAAGCAATGCTGCTTTCCTTCTAACAGCAAAAGGAAATGAAGTATGGTGTTGCTTCACTTGTGTCACTCTTGAGTCTGAAGTCCAGCAACTTCACTACACAGAAGAGATTGAAACACTTTAGTGAAAGACATTGGGTCACACAAAGCATCTCATTGAGGACAATGGCATTACTGCCTTGAGAAGGAGAATTGTGATGATGCTTTGGCATAAAATGCCTTATACAAGGCTTAGTTGCCTCACATGAGCCTTGTGTTGTACTATTTTTATCTTTGGGTTATTTCAGCAATGCACATTTTTTAAAAAGCTGGGCTTTGATGACATGAAACTGCTATCTTGACTTTTTGATACCCCTATACAGCCTGGCCATAATAGATTTCCCAACAGATTTCTCTTGAAGAAAGGAAAACAAAGATTGCCCATATTCCAAAATCAAAATTAATGAGATTGAATATCCTGTTGTAAATCAGCAGAAGGATAATGCAACTTCAGGTTTCAGGATCTTTAACATAACAAACATCTCAAATAATAATTATTCAAGACTGGTTGCAATTGTTTTCTTCTTGGATATATGATCAGACTTGCAGCTGACAAATAATACCTGGGATCCTTTGGCATAATCCACCAATTACAGCTATTTTATCTATTATCACATGATTTTGTAATTTTCATAAGATGATAAATGCAAGTAAATTCATTTAATCAATTCTGGGAGTTAAACAATATTGCACACTGAGAACTCAAGCTCTAATTAATTGGGCAAGATGATGTTCCTAGTTCTATGCTATGCCTCTCATGGTCTTTGGCCTGATGTTTCATTTAAGAATTACTTTGAGTTACATACATACATGTAGTGCCTTTGAGCCAATGTTAACTCCTGGTGACTCCCTGAACAAGTCTCTGCAATTTTCATGGCAAGATTTCAGAAGTAGTTTGTCATTGCTTCCTTCTTAGTGCCAGGAGAAAGTGACTGAGCCAAGGTCATCCAGCTGACTTTGTGTCTAGGGGACTAGAAATTATGGTCTCCTACTTTCTAGTTCAGTTCTTTAACCATTATACCAAACTGGCTTTTAGATTTCGACCTGTTTTCCTTGTTATCTTCTGGGAGGAAGGTAGCAGCACATCCAAATTCAGCCATAGTTTCATTCCATACAGTATTAACTTTGTGAACTCTCAAGCTTCTTTCTGTTATATATTCAAGATGGACAGTATTTAATATTTATTTGCTACATTTATGTAGGGGTGTGGGTCTATACATATGTTGTTCATAGTATGCTTAGGTGTATGTCATGTATGTGTTTCACTTTGAGAGCGGGCAACTAAAGTTCATTTTTGATGTGTGCTGTTGTGCCCACAGTAAAAAAATGACAATAAAAGTTATCTCTTATCTTATTTGGGTTAACTAATCACAAGTGTTCATAGCTGAGAGCTGAAGATCTCAGAGACAAAGATGAAATAGAAAGGAATAGCACAGAATATTTAGATAAGGTTGAGCAGAACTCTAAAATGACTGGATGACTGAAAAACCTCATAAGACAGGATAGGTGTCATCAGAATCCATGGAGACAAAGTATTTGTTGAGCAAGATTCAGAAAGAAAAAGCAGGTTATGCAAATTGTTAGATGTATAGGAAACCACCTGCACTGTTAAGAAAGTCTTAAGGAAAGACTGGCAGTGAATGAGGAAGCAGATGGTAAGTGGGTGGGGGAAAAATAAGACCATCTCAATAGATCTACCACAATTTATTCTGTTCAGGTCGAAAAAACAATATCCTCCCACTCACTCTTGCTTGACTTCTTTATATGTTCCTATCGCAAGAAACCCTAGATAATAAGATCTGGTTACAACTGATGGCTGGAAAACGAAATGTTCTGTTTTGTTCCTAACACCAACTTTATCTAGGCAGAAAGCAGAACTACAGATAGTCCTCCACTGACATCAGTTCATTTAGTAAAAAATTCAAAGTTACAATGATACTGAAAAAAGTGACGACCATTTTTTATACTTACCATTGTTGTAGCATATTCACTGTCATGCAATCAAAATTCATATGTGTGGCAACCGGTTCATATAATTTATGACAGTTGCAGTATCCCGGGATCACCTTTGGTGAGCTTCTTACAAGCAAAGATAATGGGGAAGCCAGATTGACTTAACAACCATGTTACTAACTTAACAACTGCAGTGATTCACTTAACCACTGTGTGAAGAAAAGTTGTAAAATTCACTTAACAAATGTCTTGCTTAGCAACAGAAATTTTTGGGCACAATTGTGGTCATAAGTCAAAGATTACCTGTATAGTCTATAAACTCATATGAAGCTTGTGTGCAAGTGCACATAGGCATGTGTTTGTATTTTGGTTTGTAGTTCAATTGGCAATCAGACATTCACCATTATAGCCAATTTTGGTCTTCTGAATGCAAAGAAATGTAAACATAAACATGTATACAGTACATGCCAGTTTAGATGTAATTTTAGAAATATCTGTATTCTAATCAAATAAAAATAAGTCAGCTCTGCCTTTGGAGATGCTGTGTGGGTATCTTGTTTGTCCTGGAGCACAAGTTGAAATGTAGCTGCTTAGAGAAACCAAAGGGGCCTGGAAAAGAATTGGAAACTCCTGG